CCTTAATATTGTTACTAGAGCAAACCTCCAGAGATCTTCTGTTGCTTAAACAGGATGAGATACAAGTCACTATTTCTCTTTCCACAGCCACATTCAAAGAGACACTCAGGGCTCAACCTATAAAGAATTCAGAATGTGGGCTTAGCCACCACTACACAAGGGGAGGTGCCCCTGTGCAAGGTGGAGAACAGAAGGAAGAGCCAGGGTCAGGTCCAGGTAACCTGGGCAGGCAGGGTGCGGTAGCGCTCACCTAACTAACTGGGGTAGAGAACACAATGGTGAGACCCTGCCACAAAGTACCCGTGTGTCTCTCTCCTCCTTCAGCTCTTCCAGCACTTGTCTGCTCTCTCGCTTTCATTAAAAAATTAAAGAGAAAAAGAAAAGGGACAGCGAATTGCAAATGTTGGAATACTGACTACATTTATTGTCCCAGATAAAGTTCAAAACTTAAACAAGGTTCTCATTATCTAGCAAAACCAGCTTTCAGCCATCTCTTTATAATTCGTACTCCAAAGTCGGTCAACTTCTTATCTTCCTCCAATACAGGCTGTTTTCTCTCATTTTACTGTGCCCGTTGAACTTTCTACTGAAATACCCTCCCTCCGTCATTCTGTCTGTGACACTTCTTCGTATACTTCAAAACCCAGCTGGGAAGTCGGTTCACCTTCTCTAAGCATCAGGTTGCTCCTTTCTGGCTACTTTCTTTGAAGCCATCAGTTAGAATGTTTGTGATGCTGGATCGTAGGTATTTTTCTGTCATTCCACCTTCTTTGCAATAGCAAATAGTTGTTTACACTTGCATCAGGTGTTGGAAAACATAACTGAATTGACATAATTAGAAATGAACGTTAACTGGGAAAAAACTTAAATATTACATAAGTTCACATATATTCCTTATTAAAATGGAATCTATTTCATTTTCATATAGTTCCCTCTCACAAACTACTTATGATTGCTCTTTTTTCCCTAAAATAAAGTACTGAGAAAAAAACACTATCGTTCTGAAGAAAAATCCTACTTTTAGTAAATGTGAATCTACAACCTATGACACCAAATATTCTGTTTTCTCTTAGTATTTTTTTTTTAATAAAACTTTGAATACAGCAACACCCTCTAATTATCTGACTTACTAAATTAGGAAAAGAAAACCTAAAGGCAGAAATGTTCTCTATAGACAAACAAAAATGTAACCATCTGGCATTTATTTTTTATTTATTTCTTTGCATAAAGAGAAAAAATACACATGCACATTACAAGAAAAAAGTAAGTTAAAAAATACATTCTGTCAAGTAAAAGTAAAGTCAGAAATGATTATAAAATGCTTCTTTTAAACTTTTCCTTATAATATTCACAAGTCCACCCTCGTAGAAGAACTGTTCTCTAGCTGTAATATATAATTCCAAAGTATAAAATAACACAGAAGGGATGAATGAAGCAACAAATAATCACTGTTAGCATAAAGACAACAGAAAATTTTCATTCTTTTCTGTATCTCTGTTAAAAATCTGTATGGAAGACTTCATACTGCTAGTGAAATCTCTCTGTGTCCTGAATCTTAGCTTACTCCAACCTATGAGATGGAAATCTTCATACTGCTAGTGAAATCTCTCTGCGTCCTGAATCTTAGCTTGATATCAATAACCCATGAGATGGAGCCTTGAGAATTCCTGCCGTGCAATGGAATGATGGGCGCAGCACAGCTTTTCATTCCCGTGCTAGGTATTACTGATGCGCTTAAACAGATTAGTTGCTCTGAATAAAGTCTACTGCTGAAATGCTGTACCCATGGATTAAAATACTGTTTTAAAGGAAACCATAATATACAAATTAGAGCTAAGAAGTTATTGCAACAAATACTGTACTTTGTGTTTATCATTTACTTTAACATAAATGCATTTTTCTTCACAAACACACTTCGTAAGTGTACACATGGCCTAGCCCTTACGTTGGAATGAGGAAGAGGAGCTGTTGCTATAAACACTTTCACATGTATTTCATTCCTTCTCACCAAAGGCCCCTGTGAATTGTACAAAGTATTAATGTTTTATCAGGTGAAACTGGAATACAGAAACCCAACAGCTATTGAATAAGATCACACATTTTGAGAATGTTTACTTAAATGTAGGGACTTGCAATTCTAGGCTATGAGACAAACTAGAAGAGAAAATACTCACAGTAGTTCTTAGTTCTGAAACCAAAGAGCACACAGGTGACTGCGTGAATGTAAGCAAGGTGTGGGATGCAGATACAAACGATTCACACACATACCCACATAAATATAATCGAGGGTAGACCAGATAAAAATGTTGGAAAGTGATACAAAGGAAGAAGATGGTCAGTGCTGCTCCGTGAATTTTGGAAGGGCAATGTTTGGCTTCTCTGTAGTATAAACTGGTCACTAATAATTTCTTCTCAAACTTCATGTTCAAGGTCAAACTATCGGATGATATCTTTTTATTAGCTTATAGATTGGATATGTTTGACAAATTTTACTCTCGAAAAATGAAGTCATATCAATATGTCCCCACCACAAGTTTTAGAATTCTGATAAACTATGGGAATGAGTGTGTGTGTGTGTGTGATCTACACCTTTGTCAAAAGCCAAAGAATCAACCAAAAAATATGTATTTATGCAAGCTATCTATGACCAGTGTGATCTACACCTTTGTCAAATCAATCAATAAATATGTATTTATGCAAGCTATCTATGACCACTGAAGTTATGGGTGACTAAGAAGACAGGGGACAATAAACCAAGTAGCCTTTAGTGAGCACTGGAAGTTTAAAGTATGCCATTTCAGCCACTCCACACAGAAATGGGATGTGGTTAATACTGCTAATCTTGACATTACAAACAAGGAAGTCTGTGAGATTCTTGAGAATTAGAGGTGCTATTAACACTTTCAGTCTTTTTCTCTACCATAATTAATACAGAGTTCAGTATATGAAGGTTCTTCAGAAAGTTTTGGAAAATTATTATAAAAAAAAAATCCATGGACTTCAAAAATTTGTTGTACCACAATAATCCTGTACTTTAATTCCATCTTCCAAGAACTTTTAGAAGACCCTTCCTATAAGGTACCCAGCCCATAGTATGCAAATAAAACAGACTACATGAATGAACTAAAGGTGGCACTTTTTTTTTTTTTTTTTTTTAGTTATAGGGCGAGTGTGCTCACTGGGGAGAGAGAGGGAGAGAAACAAAACGAGAGGGAGAGACAGTGAGAAATCCTCCCCCGGGGGATGGCTATGCTGCAACCCTTCTCCTCTTCTCCTCCATTCTCCTCTTGAGACCTTGGGCACGCATGCACACGTATCCCACCTGGTGTTTGAGCCACAGGATCTAGGAACTCAAACTTCCAAGTCTGCTATGTAGATTCAGTGCCTTGACCACCACACCATCAGCTGGTCCAGGCACCGAAAACCTTTTGATGGCTTAAAAACTGCATTTTTATGAGAAAACAAAGTAATAAAATATGAGTTTTCAATTGCTGTTAAAAAGATAGTCTTTCCAATTAATTAAAAATAACAACTTCAGGGGACCAGCAGCTAGCATAATGGCTATGTCGCTGGACTCCCACGTAGTCGACCGCAGTTCGCGTCCCGGACCGGTGGCTTAAAACTCACGCCAGGCGCGTGTGCGTGCGTGCCCAAGATCCCGAGAAGAGAATGGAGGAGAAGGGACTGCGGTGTGGCCATCCCCCCTGGGGGATGATTTCTCACCTTCTGTCTCTCTCTGTCTGTCTGGCGAGCACACGTGCCCTATAGCAAAAAATAAAACCTTTCAAAAAAAAAAAAAAATAGCAACTTCAGAAGCCAGCAGGTGGTGTGGTGGTTGAGGTGCTGGACTTACACATGGCTGGCTACGGTCTGAGTTTCAGACGTGATGGTTTGCTTTCTCACTTTTGCTCCCTCCTCTCTCCGTCTCCCTTTCTCTCTCTCTCTGGTGAGCACACACACCCTGTAACAAATTAAAACAACAGTAATGACAAATTTAAATCAATAATTTTTAAAAGAAAAAACTTCAAGATGTTATGGCTGACACTGATTCATGAAATTATGTCATGGATCATAACAAAATGTTGTATATAAAACTTCAGTACTTGCACAACCAACAAACTATGGAAAAGAAACATAAATTCTAATCCTGGTTCTCTCCTAACTAAAGGAAGTTAATGACCCTTCGTGGACTCTAGTTTTACTACCTAGAAGAGGAGTTTTGGAATAGATAAGTCTGAAGACACTTGAAGGTTTCTAGTTATGGTGAATTATGGTCTAGATCACTTCACTTGAACAGATGACCTCAGAAACTAGGATAGTAATCACATTTAACAGGCACACATTAAGTTCTGATGAAGACTTGAATGTGTTCAAGCAATGCTGTAAATTAAGCCTGCACACATTTTTCACAAGACTCCCACAAACATTAATTTTCCCCCAAACAGAGCTGTTTTCCCAAATGATAACTTTACATTGCTATACGAATATTCAGATTTAGATCCTACAACCTTTCTCCTTACCCTTCTAATGCCAAAGCGTAAATTGCACTGTATGATCTGACCCACAGCACTTATCCTGGTACGTTTCTAAAAGAGATGTCTAAGTATTCTAAAGCTCTCTCCTCCGATTTACCACGTATGCAAGAGAAACAGCACTAAGATAATTCCATTTTCATGCTACTATTTAGATCACTGGATACTTTTTTCCTCCCCACTGAGGTCATATATAAGGAAACCATATACATTTCACAAACAAATCTAACCAGCAATAACCAATGCAAAATAAAGTAATACTTTGAAATTCAGTGGTCAGCAAAAAAGAAAACTACGAGCCATTTGAGCGATTGAGAATAATAACAAAATTATACAGTAGTAAGACATACTTAGATAGTGATTAGAAAGTTAGTCATATACTGCAGTTAAATTTTAGTATCTCTTATCCGTTTGCTAGCATGCAGCCTTGGTCTGTCCTCAGGCACTTACTGGGATCTTAAAGGATACTCAGCACCAGAATGATGTGCGACTCTGCCACGAACTGAGCCTGGCTGCTCCCGTGGATGTAGCTCTGGAAAGGAAGACGAAAAGGCAGAGGTGACCGTCTGGGAAAATGACGCCATTATCCTGCGGTTTTACACCGTGATGATAAATAGTGGGAAAATGTACTACGCTCCCATTTATGATGATTTTAAATGAAATAGTTACTAGTTAACTAGAAGTAGGTAAAAATATTGGTTGATGTTACAATTACTATAAATATTAGACAACTTCATATAAAAAGTAAACTTAAGGGCCAGATGCAGTAGTGTGTGTCTGTGGTCCTAGCTAGGAAGCTGAGGCAGGACTCGGCACAGAGAAATCCTATCTTAAAAAAAAAAAAAGAAAAAGAAAGGAAAAAGAAAAAGAAAAAAAAAAACAGAAACAGAAAAAGGAAAAGAAAAAGAAAAATGAACTTAATAGAATTTGATAAAGGATTTCACACACACACACACACACACATGCATGTGCACAACTGAGTAACAATTCTTTTAGAGATCCAGCTAAAGTGTATCTGACAACATAAGGTACAAATTACAGAAAATAATTTTTGATTTTTCATCCTTTAAAACACAAATGACCAATCAAGTATCAAATCACTCTTTTTCATATTATTCAGGCTTTTACAATAAGGTGTTAGCTTTATAAATGTACTATTCATTAGCATATTTACATTTTCAAAATATAATTATTAAAACTGATTTTAACCCTACTGAGAACTGTGTAATTTTTCTATCCATGGAAGGATCACACATAGTTTAAATCCACTGATACCACTGCTAAATTGATTCCCACAATATTTCTGATGTTAATCTCTCTCTAATGACAAGTAGTCGCTATGCAGGTGTTTTAAATAAAATCCTTGGCTAAGTTTCATCTTTCAGAAAAAATGTACTAGAGAAAATATGTAGTATCTTACAATATAAATCAATGTCCTCAACTTGTATATCACTTATACTGTACATGTATTATTTGCACAATTTTATCATTTGAGAGGCCAAGTAGTCCTGCCATCATGTGCCACTGCCTTTAGTTCTGGCAATACGAATGGATGAACCTCCGTGCGTTTTGATGGAAACAGTCCTTGTACTAGGCCCCAGAGAACTACCCGTCTCAAGCCTTCACAGTGGACCATCACCAACTCTCTGAAGTTCAGTACTCTTTGTCTTAAAAAAAATCAGGACTGTACCAGATGACTCCTAAGGTCTCCCTTGAAGTAAGAATCTTTTGGGTTTTGTCATCAGTCCTGTCTCGGTATTTTCATGGAAAGACTGTTCTTAAACTCCAGATCTAAAGCCTTCCTGGCTTCCACTTCTCATCTCTCAGGACCTGAGGCACAGCTGCCTCATCAGAAGGTGTACACAGGCATAATCTTTAAGCATAGCTTCAGGTAGACTAGCTAAAAGAGAGCCTTTTCTGCTTCATTCATATCACAATTTCTCAAGGATTCTGTATTCCATGTTTTTCCTTCTGACCGTCTACTTAGGTGTCTCTTTTATGGGGGACAAGTATGACTTTGAAAAAAATAATCCAACTGCTTACAAACCATGTAAGACTTTTAACATCACTAATGGATGACAATAGTGAAATCTGGACAAAAAACAAATATGCAGCAAAACAAATACCAACACATATATTATACTTGATATGTAGTTTGATTAGAAATGAAGACTAAGAACTAACAAAGACTCAGGTTTTATTCTCCAAATAACTGTTAATAGCGAATACAAATAGATAATCGTAACAAGTACAAACAAAAACAGCTACCATGGACTGAGCACTCCTTCCGTATAGGGCACTTAGGAGCTTTAATGCAATATCTCGTTTAATTCGGGTAACCCTACAAAGTGGTTATTTTCTTTATAGTCACTTTATAGATAAGGTAATTGAGGCTTAAGGGACGTGAAGAAACTTGCCTCCATTTTCACATGTAGTATACGTATTTGAACTGCAGTCTACCCGATTTCAGGCTCTGGGCTCTTCTTCAGTCTATCACTTTATTTGCTGGACATCTGATTAGGATTTCGCATGTGTTACTCTACTGTACTTAACAACTACCTAACATAGCTATGACCTGTCATCTTCCAAACGAGGAAACTGAGACGCAGAGAAATTTCACTAACTTGCTAAAGATTGTACAGTTAGTCATTGCTGATGTTTAGGTTACAATTAGGTCTATCCATACAGGTCATGACCTTGCTACCATACAACTTGGACCCTGGTCGGTCATGTGGTGGTTAAGGCGCTGGACACTCCCACATGGCCGACCAGGGTTCGAGTCCTGAATCTGGTGGCTTGCTTTCTCGCTTCCTCTCTCTCTCACTCTCAACGTCTGTCTCTCTCTGGTCAAATTAAAAAATAAATGAATGAATAAATAAAATCAAATAAAATAATTATTTTAAAAAAGAATCAGATAACTAATTCTGAAAGTTAATTAAAATTATCATTTATACACTTGACTAAAATATCTGAATATAACAGCACAGGAAACATGCTCAAATTTCTACAGCAACGGTAACATACTTTTCCTATATCAGAATCACCAATTTATAGAAGCACATAAGGCAGTTTCAATTTTTTTTTAAGTAACAGAATCTTCCATCAAGCTTCCATCAGGGTTGGCAATGGACTTCCCCACGGCCGCATTCTGGGTTATACTACAATCATATTTGACTTAATCTATCTCAAAAGCCTGATGCATCTGACTGGTCTCTCTTTTTGTAACATTTTCTTTGCTTGACTTTTGGGGTTATTGGCTTTTTCTCCATATGGTGTGTGCACTCACTGGAGAGAGAGACTCTGAGATTAAGAAATAAAGAAATAAAGAAGAAGGAAAGTGAGAAATCACCCCCTAGGGTGGGATGGCCATGCCACAGTCTCTCCTCCAGTCTCCTCTCGGGATTTTAGGTACACACGCGAACATGCTTGGAGTGATTTTCAAGCTTCCAGCTCAAGACCTTGAAATACAGTCCTGTGAGAGTCCAGCACCTTAACCACGGCCCCACCTGCAGGCCCAGGATTCTACTTTTACTTAAATCTCATTTATTTATTTCTTCTACAGGAGAAAGAGTGAGCCAGGCACAGAGGGTCAGGCACTCCTAACAGCGTATCCAGACTGCGATTCACACCCAGCCTCAGCTACCTAGATCACAGGAATGGGTCTCATGAATGAGGCCTTGGGGTGCAGGGGTGCAAACCCAGGACCCCCAGCCCGTGTGGTGTGGTATCACAGAGTGCTATGTTACCACTGCGACACTGGCTGCCCAGGAGACCACTCTAGGGTCTCTGTGTTCACGGGCACCTTCCTCAAGCCCTTGACAATTCCCTTTACATCCGAAACTCTCGCGTCTCAGAGCTCCTTCCACAGACTTAAACCTCCTCTTCATACCCACCCTGCCTAGTGTTCCCATCCATCTTACGGCTTTACTGTGCCTGTTCTGACAAGGGTCACGTTCATATCCAGTCCCACGTACATCCACCCCACCTAAGTTGGTCTTCATGAACAGACTGCCTTGAAAGTTGAAAACGTAAATCACCAAAACCAAACTTGTCATGTGCCTTTCCATCCCAGAATCTGCCTCCCTCCCATCTGCCCTATCTCGAGAAAACGTTAACTTTATTGCACTTGTTGAACACCCCACCGAAGTTGGTCTTCATGAACGGACTGCCTTTACAAGTTGAAAACGTAAATCACCAAAACCAAACTTGGCATGTGCCTTTCCATCCCAGAATCTGCCTCCCTCCCATCTGCCCTATCTCGAGAAAACGTTAACTTTATTGCACTTGTTGAAGCCAAATTCTTGGAGTCGTCCTTGTCTCTCTGCCCTTCCTTTACTCCCTCTCCCTCCCTAACTCTGTAATACATACATCCAATTAATAACAAATCTTTATTGGCTTTACTTTAAAAATCAATTCCAAATTCAACCACTTCCAACCACTTCCAGGAAGAACTGGCAAGAGTCCTCAGGGATGAGGCCCAAGATTGACCGTCAGGCCTAAGACGTCACCATCTCTTGCCAAAATTACAGGGATAGCTTCCTTTATTCTTTATTTCTCTACCCTGTGTGTGTCGGTCATGTTAATGCCATTAAAACCAATCAGATCCTATCATCGCCTTGTTTAGAAGCCTTCACTCTCTTTTCAACTACGTGAGAAAAATATCACACACAATATTACCTGTTCCCAGGTATGACACCAAAGAACCTACGTGGTTTTCTCTCATTTGAAACTATAGGAGGTAGGTTAAAAAAAAAAATAACTTGTTTTTAGGGAAATAGCATTTCCCTAGAGACGTGGCATTTCTCCAGGACAGATCTGTAAGACTTGTATCTAATTTTCTTGTATTAGGCAGTAAAGAAGAAAGGTCTTGGAGTTAGTCCTGAATCTGCCGCTTACTAGGTGTTTCATGCTAAACAAATGACTTAACCTCGATTATCTTAAGAGAGAGTTGAAAGATATTCCTTAATATTGTTTTAAAAATCCAATAATGTAATGCCACTTAAGTAACTAGCAGAGAACCTAGACCTCTCTGTATTAAATCAAGCACAAATTGTTACTTACTCTCCATTCTTTTTTATTTTTTTTTCTAAGAGGTTTTTGCTATAGGGCGAGTGCGCTGGCCAGACAGACAGAGACAGGGAAATAGAAAGCGAGAAATCACCCCCCAGGAGGATGGCCACGCCGCAATCCCTTCTCCTCCATTCTTTTCTTGGGATCTTGGGCACATACGCACACGCGCCCACAGTGTGAGTTTAAGCCACCAGGTCGAGGACTCAAACCGAAGTCGACATAGCCATTATGCTAACTGCTGGTCCCCATAGTCTCCATTCTGAACAACTTGTTTTTTTATCTTCTAAATATTGGATAAATATATTTAACTGTCATTCAGAAATTCATTATATTTTCACAGGTGAATTTAGAATGTTGAAAGGGTATTTCAAAACACTGCCATTCAGGAGTTAGCCCAAGGCCCAATGGTTAAGGAAACCGGATCTCATTTGGCTGACAGCGTGGTTAGGAGCCCAAACTGTG